AGCGAGGCGGGAGGAGCCGCCTGCCCCCTGTGCCTTCTAAAGCTTCTCTGTGCCAGTGTCGAGGTGCAAAACCCCCTGTTTCCCCATGGCACGCAGGGGGATTGCAAGTTGCTGGGCTGGCAGCGCTTTTTCCAGGGGAGCAAGGCTGTGTTTGCTCCAACCTGGGACTCGTTTTCCCTGAGAATGATCTGTTTTCCTGCCCAAAACGCTGCCCCACATGGTTTCTAGTTACAAACTCTTAGTGAGCAGTGGCAACGTTTTGTTCTCCCTTAACTGCTCTCTGCAGACAGCAAAACCCAGGATCTCCTGACCCCTGGGCAGCCCTGCCACTGCTCCCAGTGAATCCAGTAGCCCCAGATAGCAATGACACACCTGCCTGCCTCCAGCCAGGGGATGCAGATCCTGGCTGTGCAGGCATCTGACAGGCCTCTCTCTTGCTCTCTCTTCCAGCTCCGTCAGCTGTGTCCATCATGCACCAGGTCAGCCGCACCGTGGACAGCATTACCCTCTCATGGTCTCAGCCTGACCAACCCAACGGCGTCATCCTGGATTATGAGCTGCAATATTATGAGAAGGTACTGCGTGACCTTGGCAGGGTTCATTTGCAGGGTTTTGGGAGAGGAGGTGGTGCAAAGGTTCACATAAAGGCTACAGCAGTTGACTGACCAATACCTCTCGTGCTGTAGTTGACCATGTGGGTGACAGTGGCCAGCAGCCCTTTGTAGTTCAGTGGTGGCTCCAGTGGCCTGCGTAGACGCTGCAAGTGTGGAAGATCTGTGGTCTTTCAGGAGGAATTTCTCTTCCTTTCACCTCTCCAGCACTCGTGACAGGTGGACCCATTGCAGGGAGAACTGGATAGCCAGGATCCAGGGTCTAATTTTTGCCTTTCCCCTACTGGGGCGTCAGTGGGGAATGGAGATGGTAGGGATGTCATAGAGCATCTAGTCTCAGGCTGGGCTGGGACACTAGCTGAGTGTCCAGACTTTGAGACTTTGTGTAACGCTGTCCGTCAGTGCATTTACACCAAAGGTGAGTTTGGCATCTGTGTGCAGCCGCCTGAACCTCTTTACCCAGGTGTTGTACCAGGGAGAAGCTGTCCCAGACTCCGGTGGAGGGTACATATTGCACTATGGAGTTGGGGGAGGCTGATGTGAAGGGGTCCCACAGCTCTGGCTCTTTCATCCCTGAGGAACATGCACCTTCCGCCTTCTCCCTGCCTGCACGAGCAGGGGGACTGCAAGCCAGGGCTGTGCCAGGGTGTCCATCCCATGGGGCTGAAGTTGTGTGGCTGCTGAGAGACCTGAAGATCATGTTGATGTTGGTCTCAGGACCTGTCAAGCTCCGTGGGGCTTGTGAACTTCATCTCTGCTACCCAGGGAACGTGGGGAGCAAGAGATTGGTCCTTCCAGGAATCTGCCCCCCTACACAAGAGCTTATAAACTATACATTAAAAATTGCAAACTAATTAAAAAGCTTTATGATTAAATGGAACTGAAAATATTTTTCCCAGCAGTTGCCGGAAGAAATGATTAATCCCCCCCACTGCCTGCCTGTGACCTATTTTCTCATCATCAAGAGCCAGAGGGAGAACGGGGAGGGAGGGAGCTTCTTTGTGAGCTGTTAAATAGGTCCTGACCTATATTGCATAAATCACGCCATTTATTTGACCCTTGGAAATGATCCCAGAATACGTAGCGAGATGGATGAGTAGGTAACAAGACAGTCTGGAAAGCAAGAGGAGTCCTTCCCCTGGGGACCCTCAACGTGGGAGAGAAGATCTCAGGGACTTCATTCTCCTCCTTGTACTTTCTCTTAATCTCTTGCCCTCTTTCTTTCTTCCTCTTCCCCTCTGTTTTCTGGAGGAGGCTGTAAATGAAGGGAATTTTTGTCCAAAGGGCAAAGCTGCTGTTTGTGGCCGGTCTTGTGGCCAGCCGCAAGGTGAGCATCTGCTTGCATCGTTGTCAGAGCATAGGGCACAGCCTGTCCCTGGTCATGGGGACCAGCGGCCCAGGCCACGCTGAGGCAGTGCTTTTCATGGCAGCAGGCGCTCAGGTGGAGCACTGGCCCTGGAAGAGGACAACACAGGCAGCCCCACGTGCTGGTGCTGAGGTGCTCTCTGTCCTGGTCTTTGCTAGAATCATAGAATGGTTAGGTTTGGAAGAGACCTTTAAAGGTCATCTGGTCCAACCCCCCTGCAGTGAGCAGGGACATCTTCAACTTGATCAGGTTGCTCAGAGCCCTGTCCAAGCTGACCTTGAATGTTTCCAGGGATGAGGCATCCACAGCTTCTCTGGGCAACCTGGTCCAGTGCCTCACCACCCTTATTATAAAGAATTTCTTCCTTACATCTAGTCTGAATCTTCCCTCCTTTAGTTTAAAACCATTGTACCTTGTCCTGTCACTACAGGGCCTACTAAAAAGTCTTTCTTATAAGCTCCCTTTAAATGTTGAAAGGCTTCAATAAGCTCTCCCCAGAGCCTCCTCTTCTCCAGGCTGAACAATCCCAACTCTCTCAGCCTTTCCTCAGAGGAGAGGTGCTCCAGCCCTTGGATCATTTTTGTGGCCTCCTCCGGACCTGCTCCAACAAGTCCATGTCTGTCTTGTATGGAGGACTCCAGAGCTGGATAGAGTACTCCAAGTTGGATCTCACCACAGCAGAGTAGAGGGGCAGGATCACTTGGACCTCTTGGTATCTTCTTTTGCTGATGCTTTGGTTGAAGAAAGGCATGTCTTTATCTCCTCTCCAACAAAGATGTACGTCATTCTCAGAAAGGGATCACTGGGTCAAAGCTTAGTCCCACAGCAAGCAAACCTCAGAGGGTTTGGAAACAGGTTAAAAGAGCAGTGGAATTACCAAGAGCTAGAGGCAGGGCCTGGCCAATGGCAGTGGGTTTGTCTCTCCCCAAACTCCTCTGTGTGTGTGTTAACCTTTACTCCAAAGTCCCAGTTGCTCACTCGAGGTCTGATCCATCACTAGTCATCACTAGCTGAGGTCTTCATGTGCTTTGTCTGGTCAGTCAAGAGCCCTCTGCATTCTGAACAATGCCATGACACTATATCCTTCTCCGACTGCTTGGCGGAGCTGAATCCCATGTTAGTCTGGCCATTGCAATGCCAAATTTTGCAACTGAAAGCCATTTACTTCATCCCCGGGAACAGTCCCAACATGCTCAGCTTTGGATATGCTGTGCTCTTCCCCTGCTTCCCATCAGTACTGCAATTTGGATGGGGTGTGTGACACATCCCAGGTGTTTCTCACTCGACTGCCAGTCTGTGCAGAGGTGATTTTCCTCCAAAATGTTTCATTGCAAACTGTCCCATGTGCTTCTGAATGCTCAGAAAATATCTCTGGAGCTAGTTAAGTTGTTTCAGGTGGATTTTTTTTTCCCTAGTAGAAAATTTTGTTTTATTAGCATGCAAACAGTTCAAATGTAAGAATAGCAGCATATGCATCTTGTATGAAAAATGTTTTGACTCTGCATTTTGAATTTATTCTCTTCTATATAAAGACATAAATTATATTTAAAGAACTGGAATAAGTGTTTCAGTGTTAACAGAAAAGAGCTGTTCATGATACCTGAAACAAAGGTGTATTTTTGTTTCCATCTCACAGATTATTTATAACATCTCTATTATTAGATGCTATTAAAAGTGCCTGTACAGAGGTGACACGACGATTTTCTTTCACGTGTAGTTAGAGCAAGTCAGTGCAGATCGTTAAAACACTGAATGATGTGTCTGTTCTCTATGGTCCTCTCCTTAATGTGGTGGGTTTTTACCTCCAAGAGGCGCCTGGCAATGTTTGTCTTCTTAAAAAAGTGCGTGTTGTCTTCATTTAGAAAGGACATAGTAGTTTTTGTCTGAAGTTCCCAAATTCATCCTGGAGCTGGAGACACACTGCGGTGTCAAGCACTGCAAAGAATAATTAGCTCTCCTTGTCACCCAAAATGATTTGGCTTAGGCTGCGCAGTAAGTTACCCATTTTGTAATTGTTTGAAGGCATTCAGCCCATCTCTTGTGGCCAGTTTAGTCACCAGTGCAAATGTTTTAGGAGGCACAGGAACCCTTTGATGTCTCTGACCAATGCTGGGGGAAGGGCATGGGGTGACTGGGGGGGGCAAATGGTAGCGGAGAGATGACATGTGGCAGGTGATGGTGGAGGTGGAGATGGGAGTAGAGTTGACTGTAGCTTTTGTGGTGCCCAGGAGCTTCTAGCAGGAGTCCAGCATCCCCGAGATGTGCCCAGGGGCTCAGTGTTCTTGTGGGAGGCATCCAGACACTGACCACAACGCACTTGATCAGGTACCTGGCTGGTAGGGCAGATGCTCTTGAGATCTCCCCACAAGTGGTTGCTCCCCATGAGAGTCCGGGAGCTGTGGACTCCACGGACCCAGCCCGAGAGTGCCCGACAGGACACACATCGGAGCATCCCTCCTACCGTACCGGATCCCGTGGGGATGTGTGCGATGACTTGGCACACAGCCTTGGACTGGCTTTGTGCGTGTGGCTCTGTTTGCTTCAGCAACCACAGCAGATCGCCGCTGTGCGGGCGCACAGAGGAGCTGTCTGCCAAATTAAGTCGGTTGACATTTTTCTTTGGCTCTTTTTTTTTTTTTTTTTTTTGGCTGATAAAACATGACTTTTTAGAAACAATTTTTGTAAATCCTTCGAGTATTTCACAGACTACCTGCGTTTCAAGAAGCTCTTTCTGTGTTGATCAGGCTTTGGTTTCAGCTTAAGTTTGGCTCAGGGGAAGCAGAGCACTCAAAATCAAACCTGTGAGGAAATAAGAAGTGTGTTATATTGAATTAGGATTTCCATGCTCAAACCAAAATCAGCAGGGGAAAAAAAAAAACCATCACCACCAAACCTCTGCAAAAAACAAGCTCGGAGAAACAGCAAAATGATCTGGACTTTGAACCACCTGGGACGCCCTGGACATGCTGGAGAAGCCCGGAGGAGCGAACAGGGAGAGGTGTTGGAAGTGAATGACTGGAGAGGTGACGGCTGAGCAACATGCCAAGGGGGAAGAAGGGGCCTGATCAGGGAGGGTGGAGAGGTGTGAATGCTCTTTCCTTGTGGTCTGGGATTAGCAGGGAGCACCGGCATGAGTACCCCTTTCTGAGACAGCCAGACATCAATTTCCCAGGCTTTAAATGGTCTTGTAGGCATGCCCATTGCATTCAATTTAAAGTCCTTCAGGAGCAGGGATGAGGTTCCCTCAAACAGTTGGACAAATGATTTTAAAACAACTGCGGTGTTAGTGCCGTCCGAGGGCCTGGGAGGATTCATCCAAGCCCTTGAGCACTAAAACTGTAAACATTTCCTGACCTATTTCTCTTCTAGCCTGCCTGGGAAAGGTCCAAGGGAGTGCTGAGGCCTGATCAGACAAACAAGGCAACGAGTTTTCTGTGTGCTCATCTTTTCCTGATCTTTTTCGTCTGTGTAGCTGTGCTTGAGCTTTTCATGGTCATTAGTCTAATTCTCAAACACCCCAGTGACCCCCAGGCACCTTCAGCACCAGGCCCAGATGGATAAAACTGAAGTTGTAGTTTTTAGAAGAGAAAACTGTTCCCGAACACTGCGAATAGTGGGGGTCTCCCAGGAATTGGCAGGGCTGCTCTGCATTGCCCTGCAGGACGATGTACCATCAGCATTGCCTCGCCTCCGAGTTTGACTGCACGCTTGGAGAAACACTTTCCTGACAGACCACTCTCGTGGTACCAGAGCACTGCTCAGTCAAAAGCTTCATACAAGAAGAAATTAACTCCATGAATGTTGTCCTTCAGCTGCTTTGCAGCTGTAAGGCAAATAGTCTGCACAAACCCGAGTCGTGAGTATAATCCATCCTGCAAATGCCAGTGCAGCCACAGTTCTGCTCCAGCACGATGACTAATTGAGAAAGCACCAGGCTCTCCCAGGAACAGGAGGAGAACATTGGTTCAACATGGCCTGCTTATGGAGCCCCGTAGTGTTCTTTGTGGGCCTTATGTTGCTGGTACCACAGCTTCTGGCTGTGCAGAGGATCCTCTGAGTGAAGGTACCAGCACTGTTCCCAGAAGTGGATGAACATGAAAGCAAAGTCACTAGATGGCTAGCAGTGTGGCTAGTGGAAAAGAAAGGAGACCAGCTGCCCCAAAGGCAAGCCCTACCATTTATCGATGCGCAAGACAACCTCTGACTCATCCTGTGCTCCAGCAACTGAGGAGACAGCCCCCTCTGGGCAAAGGATGTGCAAAGCTGGGTGCAAGGCGTTGACTTCTGCTTCACTGCTGCCCGCAGGCAGTCAAAGCAGCACAAGAGAGCAACAGCCTGCACAACTTGCACCTTTGTGTGAGGAAACCTTGGTTCATCACGAGATGGGACCTGATTGCCTCTTTGATACCCTCTGTCCTTCAGGAGTCCACCGCAGAAGAAGTTGGTGAGGAGGAGTGGATGCTTTGCTCCTCACTGGGAGTTTCACTCTGATAGCATGGTAGCACAGGACAAGAAGACCCTCCATACTCCCCAGTGGAGTTTCACAGCAGACACACAAGTCCAGTCCCTTGATCACGCCCTCAGTGCCACTTGCTGGGATTGCACAAACTATGCGTCTGACACCTTCCTTCTGCCAGTGCCTGCCTACTTCTCATGAGGTTATCTCACCTCCCTGGTGAGTCTGTGTGGGGTGGGAGTTCTTGGCCTTGCTGAGCCCTTTGCAGTGCTGTGAAGTTAGCAGATCTTAGGGACTCGCTTGTAAACTTGCCAGCTCAAATTCTGAGCTGTCAGCTGCTGATCTGTTCCAACCAGTGATCCTGCCAGGGCAGCCTGACCTGCCAGATCAGAGGTGTTACCAGAAAGGATGAGCACTTTCAACGTAGCTACAGAAATTTGATTCAAAAATTGGTGTCTGTGTCTCATTTTATGGGGGCTTATACTCACAGCTTGGCTTTCTTAAGATTTTTCGGTTTTCCAGAAACATCGTGCTGTTTGCATATATTGCTGCTTTGCACTGAGTTCCAGGACTTCATGGCCACCAGCCACCTGGCCACCTTGCCCTGATCATAGGGAGCACCACATTCAGTACCACCGTTCATCCTCCTCTATTGACCTATTTCTCCATGTCCCTGGAGGGGACAGGGGCTGTCCGTTCTCTTGTACAGTGACTAGCACGAGGAGATCCTGGCCCACCCACCAGTGTGCTTCTGGGTACTCAGCTAAGGGCATCATTACTGAGGGCAGTGATCAATCTGTCACCTACGCAACTGCAATGCCATCTATGCTGTTACGATACGTCTACTCAAGTCCTTCAGCTAGAAAAACTGCACACCAGGGGTGGGGCAGAAATATGGAAGTAGTCTCACTGTCACTTAAATATGCTCTTTGGTTACCCAGCTTAGAAAATCTATCCATGGTCCCTGGTGGAGCAGCCCCTGGGCAGGGGGTTGGTAGCAGTTCTTCTCCAGAGGTCCAAAACCCTGTGTTCAGGTGGGCTTTACCTCCAGCACAGGCAAAGGGAGATGGGGAGGCACAAATGGAAAGGGTGCTGAGGCTGGATCGGGCACAGGAGGAGAGGGTGAGGAAGAAGGACAGTGCTGAGAGAAAGTGGGCACAGAAGAGGGAAGCAGTTCCCATCCCCATTGAGCTCAAGGCTTGGAGAAGGTTTCTAGCTAACACTTTCATCAGAGCTTTTCCTGAGAGGTGGTGGGTAGCCCAGGGATATCTGTATTCCCGTTCCTGCCTCTGTGTCTCCCTGCTGGGAGGCAGGCTTGCAGGAATGACCTGTATGTTCAGGCCCCTGGTCTCCCTGTGGTGGTCTCTCCACCCACACTACCGTGGTTTCCTGCACTTGCACCTTCTAGAAATGCAGCACCTGATTCTGGACTCATTTTTCTGATGATGGATTTGTATTTTCTTGGCAGGATCTGAGCGAGTTAAATTCAACAACAGTGAAGAGCCCCACCAACACTGTGGCTGTGCAAAACCTCAAAGCTGGCACCATTTACGTCTTCCAGGTGCGAGCGCGTACTGTGGCCGGGTATGGCCGGTATAGTGGCAAGATGTATTTCCAGACCATGACTGAAGGTGAGTCTTCACCTGCCTCTGCATAAAGGTAACACAGGGTCTAGAGAGACTTGAACAAGCTGGAGATGCACTGGCAGCAGTGCTGGTCCCCTTGCTCTTAGTCCCTTCAAGGGTGCGTTGGCAAGTCACATGCATTTATTCAACCTGGCAAGACCTGAAGAGAGGCATGGGCACTTGGTGGTCCATGCAGGGAATCACATCATCTAGGCAAATTTCTGCCAAGCTTTTCTGGCATGGGGACATGTTCACTCGGTTGGATTTAGAGGAAACTAAATTTATGATTTTCACGTGCACAGCTGTTGATGACAAATGCAGACGTTGCCCTCTATTTTCTAAATTTGTGCTGCTAAATAAAACAGGCCAAGCCAGTTTTCTGTCCCTGAGGCCAAGGAGCAAGGCCCAGCATGCATACATCCATGGGACTAGACTTTCCCACCCAAAAGGGATAGCTCCATCCTGCCTTCCTGCTGGGGCACATCCCCTATCATAGCCAACCTGAGCCGTGCTTGGGACAGCACTTGCTGTCCCAGACCAAAACCATGCCAGGAAGCCCATTAGCAATGGCCGTGCACATGTGGGCAGTGCTCAGGGCCGTGCTCTGACCTCAATGAACTGGTTAGTGTGGACCCATCCTGGGCTGCAGTAACCCGTTCTCTCTTCCTTGCTTTTTTTTCCAGCGTCCAGGAGAAGCTGCCACTCATCATCGGCTCCTCCGCGGCAGGACTGGTGTTCCTCATCGCTGTGGTCGTTATCATTATTGTGTGCAACAGGTGGGTCCGTCAGAACGCGCCACCCAGGGCAGCAGGGGATGGGGGCAGGATGGGGACGGGAAGGGGAAGGAGATGGCACTGCAGTGCGTCTCCCAGCCCTGACGGACCCGTGCTGGGGCTCAGGACTCCCTTTCTTTCCAGAAGACGGGGCTTTGAGCGTGCTGACTCCGAGTACACTGACAAGCTGCAGCACTATACCAGTGGCCACAGTACGTACCGCGGCCCCTCGCCAGGCCTGGGGGTCCGCTCCCTCTTCGGTTCGTGTTCCTGCTCACTCCTTCCTTGCGGCGTGCGGGGCGGGCTCAGGCCACCCGGCTGGGCAGGCGTGTGCACGTGTAGCCAGGACCTCTGTGCTGTCTAGATCCCCCACCAGCCTCCTACCATCTGCATCCCCGTGTTGCCTTGTAGAGCCCGTGCTCTGCGGCCCCGTTGGGTGCCAACCGCGCGGTGAACACCTGTGCATGCTCTACAAACCCCTGCAACATCCAGCACAGCCCTGAAGCCTCCTGCGGTGCAGCCGCTGCCGCCACACCGTGCCTTGCTGCTGGCTCTGGAGCTTTGCCCAGCAGTGAGACCCCCCTCCCGTCCCACCCACATCCTGCAGAGTGCCGTCCTTCTGCAGGGACCCACGTACCTTGTGGTGCCTTTGCTAGAGCCCGTCCCAGTACTCCCAGAATCCTAGCAGATACCAGATATATCTCTATGTGTAGGTATATAATACAGTTCATAATGTACACTTTCTTGCAGTCTGCCTCTTCCAACATCCCTGTGTATTGCAAGACACTCCCTCACCTGCTCAATGCGTCCCTGCGCACCCTGCCTCACCCTCCTTCCCTCCCTGCCCCCCTGGCTGCATGCCCTCTGAAGCGCCTTTCTCCTCCCTCCCTGGAGACCTGTCACTGGACTCCTGCTTCGTTCCAGTCGAGTTATGGTTTACGTCATGTTGCACTCGCAGCTTCGGAATTTCTGTCCGTTTTATACCTTGTTCCTGTACAGACCTGGGCTTGTTCAGAACATGGAAAACATCAGTAGTGTTTCAGCACAGGACTCACAAGAGCTTCTGCATCTACCTGGGAAACATTTCCCGACAGGCAGGGCACTGACCTGCAGCTCTGTGCCAGAGCAGCAGCGTGCTGCCTGCCTTGCCGGAACTCCTCGGGAAAAATCGCATCCAAGAAAGATTGTGTAAATGCAGCTCGAGTTGTTTGTCAGCCCGTGCTGCACTTTCTGCTGGGGTCTGGTGTGTAATGTGACAGCTTCAGGCTAGGGTGGCATTAATAGCTGTGCCTTCACAACTGCTGGATCAGGCTTGATGCCACCAGATACAGATGACCTCACTGGTCACGGGCCCGGGGTGCCTTAGAGCCGCATCATGGCTCAAGACGTCCGAAGCACAGCCTCTGCTCGGCTGCCCAGCAGTGGTAGCTGTGCAGAGGCTACAGCTTGTGGTTAGCAAATTGCCAAGGTGCAGGGAGCCTGAAAGCCCTGGGAGCATTGCAGCAACTCCCCTGAATCCTACCAGCATCCTAAATGTAGAGCTGGGAGTTGTGTCTCTGGTTCTGTGTCGGGCTCCTTATTTAGTGAGCTGTGAGCTCTGCTCTCCAAATACCCCCAATTTTGGGGCAAGCCAGTGGCCAGCAAAATGGCCATAGGAAGGGGAGAACTGCAGGACACAGGTAAGAGCTGTCCCATGATGTAGGTAGTGTGCAATGTGGCATCAGCAGTCCAACCTCACCATGGCCCATGGCCATTGCCTTTCACATAAACATATTGTTTTGTCTTCTGGTTGGCCTAGAAGGAAGAGCTTGGCTTTTGCAATTTCCCTAGTGTCCCCTACAGCTTGTCTTGGCCACTTTGAGGCTACCAAGAGGGAACCTAGCCTCAGGCAGGGTTATCTGTCAGGAGAACAGGGGCCTGGACTGTCTGTCCTGCTTGCACTGCCCTGGGAAGGGTCACAGACACCCTTGTGGAGAAGTGAATCTGGCTGGGTGGCTGTGTCAGCGACCTAGAGCTGCCTCCCCTATAGATCTCCATTTAGAGAACCAAGAGCAGCGTGTGCCTCAGTTTACGTCCTGAGGTGGACCCTCACCGTCTCCTATCTTGAGTGCTAAGCTCAGGTGTCCTCCTCCAGTTTCCCATGCCTCTGATGGGATGGTGTGCTGCAGCAGAAGCAGCAGGCCCGGAAGGCCAGTGGGGCAGAGCTTTAGTCTCTGCAGATGGTCTTCTTGCAGCGTTGCAGCATAGTGGGTGTGGTGTGACATTGTTGTGCCTGTGCACCAGCTCCCAAGAGCAAATGCTTCTCTTGCTTCTCCTCTGGATGCACTAAAGCCTAATCCTGCTGCGGAGAAGGTGTGGTTGTCTGTGGTCACAGTTTGCAGTTGTAGCTAACGGTGCAGCCCTCCAGTGCCCCAGCAATGACCAATGGGCCAATACTCGTTAGAATCCAGCTTTAATCGTTCTGTCCATGTTCTGTCTCAGACTGCTTTGCTGTGTCTGCTTCATGCCCTTGATTATGTGACTTGCTGAGGTTAAGAAGACCCTCACACAAAGAGGTTCCTCTTTTCCTTCGTGCCAGACATCAGTTGTTCCATTTGCATCTGTCTGACTCTCTCCCTCACCTTTATGCAGTGACTCCGGGGATGAAGATTTATATCGATCCGTTCACCTACGAAGATCCCAATGAGGCTGTCAGGGAATTTGCAAAAGAAATCGATATCTCTTGTGTGAAAATCGAGCAGGTGATCGGGGCAGGTAGGTGAACTGTGAATGTCTGTCTGGCCTTCAGCAGCACAGTCTCCTTTGTGGTCTCAGGCTTTGGTGAGGATTTAGTCTTACATGTTTGGGGAGGACTAGTAAGGACTAGTATCAGTAAGGTCTTATACTTAGCCCAAGCCTGGGCTAGCAGGAGCAAGGTGGTCCAGTGCTGGAGGAGCAAGTACATCCAGTGCTGGAGACATCTGCCATAGTTCCCATCTGCCTATAGTCCCATGTCCAGTGCTCCTCATCAATATGAGTCCACCTGAAGGGAATCTTTGGTGTGGGGTGAAGGAGTAAGCACAGATCAGATGGTGGGTGTCAGCTCAGGGACATCCAGGGTGGGTACGTTTGGAGCCCTTGGGAGCAGGATTCCTCGGAGGGAAAGGCAGAGGTCTGGAAGGCTGACGAGCCCTACTTGTTTCCCTCTGTTCACAGGCGAGTTTGGTGAGGTGTGCAGTGGGCATCTCAAGCTTCCTGGCAAAAGAGAGATCTTTGTGGCCATCAAGACCCTGAAGTCTGGTTACACGGAGAAGCAGAGACGGGACTTCTTGAGTGAAGCCAGCATCATGGGGCAGTTCGACCACCCCAACGTCATCCATCTGGAGGGGGTGGTGACCAAGAGTTCACCAGTCATGATCATTACTGAGTTCATGGAGAATGGCTCACTGGACTCCTTCTTGCGGGTATGAGATCCCAGGAGCATGCAGCTCCAGAGATTGTGTTGGGCCAGAGGAGGACTGAAGGGGAAGGTTCCCTTCCTTGTGCCAGTATAACAGTGCCTTTCACTGCCCAGCATCACTGCCACTGGGGCAGCTGCTGCATGGAATAGATAGGAATAGATTGCCCCTTCTGAACCCTCCTGTACAAGGTGTGGCAGATATGCCACCTTTGAATGACAGCAGCCATCGGTAGTGATGCCCATAGGGTGTGTGATGGTGACTTCCAGCTCCTGTGAGCTCTCCACTCTCCACCCTCTTGCCTTGAAAGGGGACTTACATGCCTGTGGGATAGCTGTGTCTTAGTATGCAGCGTAGAAAGAGGCTACTGGTGGTTTGCTGGACCACAGCAGGCTGTGAATTCACTCCTCTCATGTGGACTCTTGCCCTCTCTTCCCCTAAGCAAAACGATGGGCAGTTCACAGTGATCCAGCTGGTGGGCATGTTACGGGGCATTGCGGCGGGCATGAAGTACCTGGCTGACATGAACTACGTGCATCGGGACCTGGCTGCCCGCAACATCCTGGTGAACAGCAACCTGGTCTGCAAAGTGTCTGACTTCGGCCTCTCCCGTTTTCTGGAGGATGACACCTCTGATCCCACCTACACCAGTGCACTGGTAAGGCTGCACTTCCAGAGGGGGAGGGATGGGTGGTGAAGGAAAGAGTCAGGGAGAGAGGGGGAAAGGGGGACATCCCCCCCTTGATGTGGGGAGCACTTTTTCAGGGTGCAAGCAATGGAAATAAGGTGCCAGCTGGGAAAGACCAGTGAAATGAACCAAGTAAGATTTTCTCTTGCAAGAGAAGATTGTAAAATTTTGTAAGATTTGTCTCTTGCAAGATCCTGTCCGGTTGTCCAGTGGCTGTTGATGGGCCCTATCGTAATTCCTGTGGATGACTGAGCCTTCTTCCAAACGTGTCTGTGAACACATACATGTCCCTGATAAAGCCCTTAGTTGGGATCGTGCATTATGCCCACCCAGCGTGGCCCAGCTGGGGCTCTGCTGAGATGCTGCCCTCACAAGTTTGTTGCCAGAGCAGCAAGTCTGGTGGTTTTTTACCATCACTGTCCAGTCATGCTGCCCTGCTGTCTGGGAGGCCGTGATCCTTTTTAATGTCACGTCACAGGCTCAGCCCCAGGAATGACGGACTGAAGTGTGGATGTGTGCTGGGTGAAGCCCTGCGGTCCTAGATACTCATCTTCCAGAGAGTCTTTCTGAATGAGACAGAGAAACGTTCCCAGAAATGGCTTTATGGTCATGTAACAGCTTCCCAGGAATGCCATGGTTGCAGTGACACAAGTGCCACATATGGCCTGTCTCAGGCTACAGAACATGCACCAGGACCAAACGATAATTTGGGGACTTTGTTGTTGTTCAGTCAGGTTGCAGCCAGGAGTTCTCATAGATACCATTGTTTGCAAAGGCAGACAGCATCGTGCTACAGCATTGCTACAGGATCAATGCCTACATACAATGCCTGTGACAGGACTTCTTGGAAATAAGTGTTGGCAGAGCTGGGGCATAACCTGTAGGAAATCATCTCTCCCAGATCTTTCGAAGCTGCCAGTGATGAGGTGTCTGCCATAGCTCTTAGTGAATTGTAACAGTAGTCGAATACCTAACAAACACCTAAAATGTGCACTTTTATTCTCATCTGAACTTGTGTGGCTTCAAACATCAACCGTTTGATCTTATACAGTCGTCCCATGGCTATTAGAAACACTGGCAACATTTATTTTTCACAACATGATCCTTACATCAAATTAACTTTACCCTTGTTAAGCTAAATACATGGGAGTTTCTAGTGTTTACTGCTGGTTTCTATTCCTGTTGTTGTGCCTGCAGTTTTTCTCTCTTGTCATCTCTAATTTATTCTTCTTGAACAGTGGGCACTGTAGCAGGACATATATTATCTGCAACGAGAGAATACGTACACCTACTATAATAGAGTACCAGAAGTAATAGCATCTTTCTCTTCAAATTGCACCATCCTCGAACTTCCCAACATGCATGAGTGTTATTATAATTATCCCAGAGACCTTGTGTTCGTGGATGGGTGACAGCCACAAGCCATGGCTTGGGAGGTTCGTGCTGGACCTTAGGAAAATGTTGTTCTCCATCAGGGTGGTGAAGCCTCGGTTCGGATCACCAGAGAGGTGGGAGGTCTTACTGAAGTGAGTGCCCACAAGAATCCTCCAAATACACCCAGTCTGTAATTTCTACTTTAAGATATCTTTTTTAGCCGTTTTTTAAACCTACTGCTTGTCAGGAGCTCTAAGAGTATGCCTGATAGAGAGGACATCATGTTTGATATGGAACGCTTGGTCTCCCCCTCTTGTGGAAAACAAAATTTTGTCTGAGGTTTGTGGCTGTGAGAAGATCAAGAACGTTATCTTTTTTTAATTATTCTAGCATCTATAGGGTCTAAGCCCTCTAAAGTCCTAGGACACCCTTAATAAGACATGGTAGTTATTCATTGACAAAATGTTCCTTAATTTTCTCACAGCCACAAAACACAGACAATTTTGCTTGTTTTCCAGCACAGGGGAAGATTTTCCCTTCTGGAGGTCCTTTGAGTTGTGAACGCCTCAAGTCCAAAGACCCTGGTGGAAAATCAGGAGGCTGCAAGGGCTTAAGCAGAGCATTGCAATTCCCGTTGCCTCGTGCTGTGTACTCCACTCTTGTGCACTTCTGTGCATGTGGAGAGTCCTTCTGATTTCTCCAGAGCTGCTGTTGCCCAGCAGGATCACAGAGACCCCAGTGTCCACCTGGTCCATCCCATTTCCCACCAGTGGCCAAGCATGCCATACTAAAGAAGATAGTCACTCCGTCTGTCTCCAGAAACGGGCAGGATCAAGACCTACTGGTTCATGTATATATCAACAACCAGACTGACACACAGTGCCCACGATGGGCAGTTGTCATGCTGAAGACTGCTGTAGCAGTAGACAGGTGGACGGAGCTGGGCTTGTTTAATATGAAGAGGAAGCTGAGGGGACACCTATAAATGACCTGCAGTACTTGAAGGACAGTTATGAAGAAGACAGAGCCAAACTCCGTGCAGTAGTACCACATGATATAATAAGGGGCAATAGACAAAACTGTGGCTTGGGAGGTTCAAGGTGAATGACAAGTAAAGCTTCTTCCCCAAGAGGGTGATGCAGCCCTGGGACAGGTCACCAGACAAACGGGGGGAATCATCGTCCTTTGAGGTTTCCCAAACTTGGCTGGACAAGCCACAGCCATTCTGGTCTATTGTTAGGGCTAGTCCTGACATCCCTTCCTTCTAGGATTTTACCAGCATATTGGAGGCAAATATTTTGGACACTCATCTTTTTCAGTTACTCTTGCTGTTTCTGTTACGGTCCTCTGCTTTTTTCCTGCAGGGTGGGAAGATCCCGATACGGTGGACAGCACCAGAGGCAATTCAGTACCGAAAATTCACATCGGCCAGCGATGTGTGGAGCTACGGAATAGTCATGTGGGAGGTGATGTCGTACGGCGAGCGGCCTTACTGGGATATGACCAACCAAGATGTGAGTTGTTAAGAAATGAGGAGCAGAAACACTGAAATTGAGAGCATTGCAAGGCCAAAGCATGGCTATAGCTAGACTCGGACTGTGGCATGTCCGGAGCCTTCTCTGTCTTGGGAGATGTGTCCAAGGTCAACACCTTTGGAAGGAGTAACGGACATAACTTTGGCTTTTGTTCTGGTCCCACTGTGCTGCTGTGGCAGAGGTCAGGTACTGTACAACACCCACTGCAGTAGGACAGGGTTAATGTGAGCACCCTCACAAGTGGTGAACAGATGCCCAGGAGGAAAGGGAGCAGCAAGCAGATCGTCCTTTGCAGGAGACTGCAGGTATTTGGTGAAAGTCTGTTATAGACACATAGAGTCATAGAATGGTTTGAGTTGGAAGGGACCTTTAGAGATCATCTAGTCCAATCTACCTGCCATGGTCACGGACATCTTCCACTAGATGGTCGTTAAATCTCCCATGGCAAGCTTGGACTGTGGTCTGTAAGAAGCCAAGCATCTTGTATGCAGCTAGAAGCCAAAACCACAATGTATTTCAGAACATAGAATCATAGAATCACAGAATGGTTTGGGTTGAAAGGGACCTCAAAGATCATCTAGTTCCAAGCCCCCTGCCATGGGCAGGGACACC